GCATGCCATGGTAACAATTGTTTTTTTTTGCTTATGGTATTGATATAATATTTTATATAGGTCGTACAACTATTGTAATTGCTCATCGTTTAAGTACAATTCAAAATGCTCATCAAATATATGTATTAGAAAAAGGAAGTGTAATTGAACAAGGTACACATGAAACATTGATGGTAAAAGAAGGAGGCAAATATCAAGCAATGGTCAAACGTCAACAAATGGAAGGAATTTACGACGATCAAGATAATATGATGAGTATAAAAAAAAGCAACAGAAGAAGATGAAAAGTCGATACGTATGTTCATATTCTTACAGTAATAGTCTTCATATTTCTTTGTTTTTTTTTCTTGAACAGTTGAGAGCTCTCGCTTAATTAGCGATAGTCAAGTTGTTGATGTGACCAAAGTACAGATATGACTACAATTATTTATAAAAACGATTATTAATAATCTCTTTTAGCGAAGTACAAAATCATTTAAACAAAGATTTGTCTTTTTAAGGCTTTTGTCAATGAATAGTCCTGAATGGATTACGATCTTAATTGGTTGTATAGCATGTATACTTAATGGAGCAGCTCAACCATTGTTTGCATTTTTACTTGTCAAAATAGTTGAAGTGAGTGATGCATTCATACAAATATTGTAGAGAATGATCGATCATATTTAATATTTTTTGTTAATTTGTTCATTGCGTAGGCTTTCAAATATTGTTCAATCTCAGAACGACGTCATCACATAGTGCTTACTAGTTTTCTTTTTTTACTTTTGGGTGTTGGTTTATTTATTCTTCGTTTCTTCCAGGTAAATATGCTGTTTTTGAATTCGATCAATAATTTATTTACTTTCTTCTATAGTATACAGCTTTTGCCATATCAGGATCAAAATTGACGCAACGTATTCGTTCGAAAGCTTTTGCATGTCTTCTTCGTCAAGAAGTTGCTTATTTTGATCGACCCGAAAATAGTTCTGGTGCAATTTGTACTCGTCTTTCTTCTCATGCATCAGCTATTCAAGAGATGACTGGTACACGATTAGGAGTTATCTGTGAAGTTCTTGCTCTATCATTTTTTGGAATTCTCTTTGGATGTTTCATAAGTGGCCAACTGACATTAATCATTTTTGGTTCTTTGTTTATCCTATGCTTAATCGCCTATGGCGAAGTATGCTTATTTCTATGGCAGAATCAACAATTTGATCAAATAATCAGACGAGCAAGTACAGTAAGATCAGTTTTTAGTTAATAATCTTTTATTTATACAGAAAATTTATTTTATTATGAATTGTTTAATAAATCAAATACACTATATTTATTCTATCTTCTATTTCTTCAGCTTGCTATTGAAGTTCTCCACAATATGCGTACAATAAAACAGTTATCAATAGAAAAGGAAATATTACGACAATATTCTGAACTTATTCATAAACTATTTATGTTAGTCAATTGAATCTTATGCATATATTAATTTTTAATCATTCTTGCTTTATCATAGATCATCTTGGAAACCTTTATTACTATCTTCAATGATATCTAGTGTATTTTGGACACTAGATGGATTTGCTATAGCATTTCTGTATTGGCGTGCTCTCATCCTTATTGAAAAGAATGAACTCACCTCAAATCACATTATGACGTAACATAAACCACAGTTTGATCATTTCGAGATGGCGTTTCGTGATGTTTTTAATTTATTAGGATGTTTGCGTTGATTGTTTTTACAATACAAGCACTAAAAGTCCTCGGGATGACGTAACACTCTCTATCTCTATTTTGATTGTTTTTTTTTCTTATAATGTCTCTATGCTAGATCTATCCGTGTTGCTGCATCAATTTCAGCTGCTGAAGCATTTTTTGATTTATTTGATCGAAAACCAGCTATCGATAATACATCTACTGAAGGACAAGAATTAGTGAGAGAACATAGAAAATAACTATTTTCCTTTAATCATGCACATATCATTGATATAATATCATTCTCATAGGTTGATTTTCATGGAGAGATCAAATTTGATCAAGTCAAATTTATCTATCCAACTCGATCAACAGCTATAATTCTTGATACATTCCAATTGAATATCAAGCCAAGTAAGTGTGATAATTTTCGATTTAATCATTTGTTTTACATTTTTATTCACTGATAAGGTCAGCATGTAGCTCTAGTTGGTATGTTTCAATTAGATGTTTATTCTTTTGAATGTTAATCACGTAATATGATCAATATAGGTAGATCTGGATGTGGAAAATCAACAATTATTCAACTATTGGAACGATTC